TTGGTGTTCAATGCATCAAATCTATTCTTTAGATGATCTCTAAATTCAGGAGGGATATATTCAAGATCATACTTTGGCTCTCTTGGACCTCTTACAAGATTAAAACACATGAAGTTGTCTTATATCCTCATAGAACTATTCTGCCAAGAGTTGGGATTACAAAGGCTAAAGGTTTGATTTCTAAGCCTAATGTCTGGTAATAACCCCATTCAGGAGGAAGCTTGATGGAGTGCTAAGACTCTTGAAACAACCATCAAGATAACTTAGTTCTAGTTTAATTTCCCCAAACCTAGTTGCAAAACTTCAGTCTCTTAACATTTCTGGGACTCACTTTGTCCTAAGTGTCTTTGGCTTAGAATTCTTAAAGGATTAAGCTGGTGAGTGAGTAAAAGGACTTTATAAAACCAGGGGTGGTTTTCATAATCAGGATTCATGTCCTTTTCCCAGTCAGTGAAGCTTTTGTTTTTCCTCTCTTTTAAGAAAATTAGACTTTATTATTATTTCTTTTTTGAGCGGTGGGAAGGTACTACATGTACATGGTTCATAACAGAAAAAGTAGAAGAAAGTATATATAAAAAAATTTTTCCCCACCTGCCTCTTCATACCCTCCCCCCACCCCATGGCAAATCACAGTTGTGTGTCCTTTCAGGCATGTTTTTGTGTATATAGAAGCACGTGTAAATATACCATGCATCCTGTTTTACACCAATAGTATACTGTGGTACACATTGTTCTGCACCTTGTTGTTTCACATAACTGTTTATTTAGGAGAACTTCAGTGTCTATTTAGTGTTCTGTTGTACAATAACTTACTAAATAGTCCCCTGTTGATGGACACATAGGTGGGTTGCAGTCTGTTACACACAGATTATATTATAACTAATAGCCTTGCACATACATATGTTTTTACTGTATAAGCAGATACATTCCCAGAAGTGAAATGGCTGGGTCAAAGTATATATCCATTTGTAATTTTGATAGGTATTGCCCGATTGCCTCCCTAGGCATATTCTGTATTTATAGCTGCAACAGCAGCAGCAATGTATGTGAGTGCCTGCCTGTTTCCTCATAGTCATTGTTCTCTTTTCTGCGTTTTTTTTTTTTTTTAATTGTTATTCCCAATATTTTATTGTATTTTTGGTGTAAGTTTATACAGCAAAACAGGTTCCCATTCACCAAATTCTGCACATACCGTTCGGTGACTTTGTTTACGTTCTTCAGTTCGTGTCAACATGATCATCACTTCTTCTCTTGAATTTCAGAGAAGAAGTGCAATGGGTTCCGCTGCCCAAATGGCAATTGCATCCCATCCAGCAAACACTGCGATGGTCTGCGTGATTGCTCAGACGGCTCAGATGAACTGCACTGTGGTGAGTCCCCTGCCTGCCCTGGGGGAGGCACCCAGCCTTGGCGGGCTTGAGTACAGAGCAGAGTTTGGATGAAATCCTTTCATTTCCTCAGTACCTGCTTGAGCTGGCTTTTAACTACCTAGAGTGCTTGGCCAGGACTCTTAGAGGCTGATCCTGGCAGACAGACATGGTTTGAGTAAAGGAGAGCAGGCAGAGGCAGTGGTGGGACCGTTGTGGACTTTGTTCATACTTTTGGGAACTTTACTGGTTAGTTGTGATATGTTCTGTGACTCAAGTCAGTGTTTTGAATTGCACACTTATTTCTCCTTTGATAGATTTTATTATGTTTTTAGCCCAGGTGACCCTTTGTATACCTGTGTTGTTAGACTTGGAAAGATTGCCTTGCGTTAGTAGTACTCAGTGTTACGTGTACATTTGAGTTGCCTAGTGGGCTTTAAAAGCTGCTGGTCCTGGGCCTCCCCCCAGAGACTCTGATTTAATTAGTCTAAAGTATAGCCTGAGTGTTGGGATTTTATTTATTTTTAATGTCTTAATGATTATAATATACAGACCAGGCTAAGAACCAAGGTATTAGAACAAGGCTTAGAAAATTATGGCCTCTGGGCCAAATTGGGCTGATCACCTGTTTTTGTAAATAAAATTTTATTGGAACTCAGCTCTACTCATTCATTTACACATTGTCTGTAGCTGTGTTCCTGCTCCAATATCTGAGTTGAGTGGTCACGATGGAGACCTTTGAGCTCTTTATTGAAAAGATTGCCAGCTCCTCCTGCATTATCAAGTCGGTATTGGATTAAGATCATGTATTTGATATTAGATAGCTCTGGATTCCAGTTTTGACTCCACCCTTACCAGCTGTGTGCCCTTGGGACATTAGTGAATGTTGCTAAACTCTTGTTTTCTCATTTTGAAAGCACATGCCATCTTTATCCTGGAGGCTTACCAATGTACTTTATATCAATGCGATAGCTTCAGGCCTTGGCCCAGAAAGTGTTCAGTAAATGGTGGCAGTTGCTGTTGTTGGCCTGAGCACACATCTGTACCAATCAGTGTGCGTGTTTTCAGCCAGCTTAGAGTGCTCATGGCTATTTCTACCTATTGGGACCCTTTCAGAGCCCCTGTGCACACGCTTCATGGATTTTGTGTGCAAGAACCGCCAGCAATGCCTGTTCCACTCCATGGTCTGTGATGGAATCATACAGTGCCGCGACGGGTCAGATGAGGATGTGACATTTGCAGGATGCTGTAAGTGGGATATGTAGGGGAGGTGACTCAAGTTCACCTAAGATGTCAAGAGTATGGGCCTCTTGGGTGATATACCTCTATCTAGTTTACAGGTCTTGACTAAGTGTATGTACAGGTAGTCCCCACGTCATGAACAAGTTCCGACCCTCTGTGTCTTTTAAGTCGAATTTGTAGGTGAGTTGGAACAGGTACATACTGTTCTAATTTAGCCTTATTTTATACATGAAAAAAGTTTTGATAGCACAGTGCCTAAGGCATCCGACTGCTCACCTGAAGGTTGGTAGTTCAAACCCATCAGCTACTCCATGGAAGCAAGACTGGGCAATCTACTTCCATAAAGATTTACTGCCTCAGAAAGCCAGTGGGGGTCATATGAATCAGAATCCACTTGATGACAGTGGGTTTAGGTTTTTTGGTTTTAGTTCAAGAAAATGCTGGAAGTCTTCAATATTTTAACGGCTGCATGTGCAGCAAGTGAAGGTAATTGTGAGGAATTTGTTGCAACCAGAGTTTGGAACCAGTTTATTCCTGTTTGACTCCTGCTGAGAATTTTCATTTCCATTATACTGAATCAGACATTTTAACAAGATCCCCAGATGATTCTTACGTATACAAAAGAATCTTGTTAAATGTAGATTTTGCTAAAATGTAGGTTGCAAGCAAGGGTTGGTTTGATTGCTTCAAAGTGAGGGCAAATGTATATAACATTAAAGGGCAAGTGGGAGTGGTTTGTAAGTCAGGCTTTCTTAAGGGGGGACTGTTTGTACTTGCATAAAGGGGAGTGTGGAGAATGACCAAGGTTGTGTGGCTTGTCTGTCCCCTTGTCTGAGTGCTGTATTAAATAGCAGCCCCATCACTCTGTAGTCCCTTCACCTTGCACTTACCTTACAGCACTTACCACCACTTCTCATACTCTGTATTTCACTGTTCCCCCTGCCATAATGTGACCTTTATCAGAGCAGAGGCTTTGTTTTGTTCACAGGTATAGCCCTGTTCCTAGCACGAACTAAAAAATGAAACCCACTTATAGTGACCCTATAAGGCAGAGTAGAACTGCCCCATAGGGTTTCCAAGGCTGTAAATCTTTACAGAATCAGACCACCTCACCTTTCTCCTGTAGAGCAGCTGATGGACTTGAACCACTGACCTTTCAGGTAGCAGCTCAATGCTTTAACCACTATGCCACCAAAGCTCTCTATTCCTAGCACCAAAAAAATCAACCAAACTCACTGCTGTCGAGTCGGATCTGACTCATAGTGACCCCTCCTTGGGTTTCTGAGGCAGTATCACTACAGAAGTAGATTGCGCAACCTTCCTTCCAGGGAGTGGCTGGTGGATTTGAACTGCCAGCCTTCTGGTTAGCAGTCAAGGTATTCAATAAGAATTTATTAAATGTGTGCTCTGTTAAGATTACATTTGATTTTTGCTTCCAAGAAATCCTTAATCTAGAAGAATCTCTTAGGAGAAGACACCTGCTCTTTCTTCTTGGTTCTGAGCTGCACTGGTCTTCAGTAGGGAAATGATGTAGGTTTTATGGTTGGTTGTTTGTTATCTAGCCCAAGACCCTGAGTTCCACAAGGTTTGTGATGAGTTCAGTTTCCAGTGTCAGAATGGTGTGTGCATCAGTTTGATTTGGAAATGTGACGGGATGGATGACTGCGGTGACTACTCTGATGAAGCCAACTGTGGTAAGAAGATTTTAAATCTGTATTACACTTATCCCTAGTCTTCAAGTTAGCACCATACCCATACCACTCCCCTTGCCATCAAGTCAGCTGTGACTTCTGGCAGTCCCACATGTGTTGAGTAGAGCTGCACTGCACGGGGTTTTCAGTGGCTCAATTTTTCAGAAGTAGATGCCAGGCCTTTCTTCTGAGGCCCCTTGGGGTGGCCTCAAACCTCCAGTGTTTTGGTTAGCAGCCACGTGCTTAACCTTTGCACCACCTAGAGCCTCCTCCTCAGTAGTTGCTGCCAATTCTAGAATCTCCATGTGTGGACTTAAGTCTTCAAGCTGGAACCATAGTAGGTGCTAGAAAAATGTTTATTCCATCTTCCTTTCTTTCCCCAGTTTAGCAGATCACATCCTATATAAGGGCTATTGTAGATAAGAAGTTGTGATCAGTGTTTTGGAGGGAGCTTTTTATTCCTCTAAAAGTTACAGACGCTACAGTGTAAGAGAGTTATTATCACCATCAGGTTGTTCCTTTGGGAAGCGTCAACATTAAACTCCAGTGATAGTGTTTTAAAAGTTTAGTTCAGAGAAACGTGAGTTGGAGTTTCAGAAGCAGGGGTTTTGTTGTGTTTGTGGGTGTGTTTTTTTTTTTTTGGTCACCCCACACACCCAGGAAGCTGCCTTGTCTTTCTCTGGGAGGAAAGGGCAAGTTGCCCTTGCACTGAGGTGTTGAGGAGGCTGCATGTAGTTGGGGCTTCGTGCTCGCACTGTGCAGGCAGAATGACAGTCATGTGGTTGATCTCCCCAGAAAATCCCACCGAAGCTCCCAACTGCTCCCGCTACTTCCGGTTCCAGTGTGAGAATGGCCACTGCATCCCTAACAGGTGGAAATGTGACCAGGAGAACGACTGTGGGGACTGGTCTGATGAAAAGGACTGCGGAGGTAAGAAACCCAGGGTCCTAGGATCACCCCCACAACCAAGGCACACATGTATGTGAAAACAAATTGCATTGTCTGAACCCAATTTAATTTTGTTTTTTCACAAGGATTTGAACTGGTTCTTTCCAGTTCTACCCTCCACTGAGAATTTGCATATCTACACCAGATATACTGAATCAGAATCTACATTTTTAATAAGATCCCCAAATGATTCTTATGTCTACAGCTATATGATCTATAAGAATCACTTGGGAACCTGTAAGAATCACCTGGGGATCATGTTAAACTGTAGGTTCTGAATCAGTATATTGGGGTGGCTATGCAAAGTCTCGTCAGAGGGTCAAGCCTCTGATTTAGAGTGAACTGATTCAAGTGAACTGAATCAAAGCTGTGTGCAGAGCATATTGAGAAGGTCCTGTGGAGCCTAGCTCCTCAAAGTGTAGCAGCACCCGCATCTCCTGGGAGCTGGTTAGAAATGCAG